AAATATATCCTGGGTTGTTTGTTTGTATTTATATTTCTGATGGCTGCTCTGAAGCAAATTAAAAAAAAAATTGCATTGCACATCTATTTTCTTTATATGGCTTTTATTGCTCTTTCGTGTGTACAGTTTTTCTAATGCAGAACTAAATAAAGGTACAGTTTATAGTTTATCAGAGAATTTGAAAAAAAGAAGAATTGTTATAATATAATTATGATAATGACATTTCAGAACGCAGGGAATTCCAGGCCCACGTGTCGCCACTCCTGTACGCCGCTCTGCCTCTGGTAATGTGAAGAGAGAGTTTGCCTTGGAGCTTGATGACCAAGATGAGCCAAACAAATATGAAATGCCAAAACTAGTGGATGTTGATGTAGATGAAATTTTGAATGATACAGTGCAGATTCCCAAGACCAGGTATAGGATGATTTTGGCATGTCCTTGGTCTCAAATTGTACTGAGGTGCATTGCATGTGTATTATCCCTTGAATTATGCTAATGAATGTAAAATTGAAAAAATATATAAATAATAAGTGAAAGACAAATTTTTAAAAGTATGGAAATTTCTTTTTCTTCTTTAATTTATTAAACCAATTCAACACATTATTTCTTACTTTTATTTTCCAGAGCTCGGCCTCCTAGTCCATTATCTAAACTACTTCACCGTTCAGCTGATGCCAACACAGCTATAGACCTGGTTATTTCCCAGATCACAAGTGGGGACATCAGTGTCTGCATACAGTCACTTGCACAGGTCAGAGCAACAATACACTGGTTTTGGTATTAATTTTTATGTAAGATCATGGGTTTGAAACATTGAGTGTAGCTATGGTTTAAATTACAGTGGATTAAAATATGTACAAAAAAACTGTAACCTACATTTAAGATATCATATTTTGAAAGTGTAAACATGAAGAAAGGACAATGGTCTTGTAGCAAATTTGTAAGAAGGCAAATTTACATAATGTCCCTGTATGCTGTATGATTTTGTTTAATCTCTCAATTCAGTTAAGTATTAAGTTAAAGAGGATGTTGCCAAACAACTAGCATTATTTATAGTCTTTAAATGTTCACTGTTAGATTGATGGCATGTTGAAGAAGGAGGACCGTGCAGAGCTGCTGACCAATCATGTAGACCAGCTCCTGGTGGCCATTACTGTCCAGTTGAAGATGGCCCACACCAAACACATGGGGGACCCCAACACTGACAGTGAAGATGTTATTACACTGTGTAGAGCACTGTTAGGGACACTGCTAGAGGTATCCTATGCCAAACCAGCATTTGTTTAAAATTATTCTGTTGTAATGTATAAGGCTCGAAAAATAAATCCATTCAGGTAAATTTTCATCATGCATCATAGAGCTAGGTTGAAATAAATGAAAGTATACCATTCTTATATTATAATGAATCTTTTATACATAAACAAACTTTAGTCCTAATGGAACATTTTTGCCCTAATTTAACTGCAGAACTTGCTTTTGTGTAGTATATCACTTCATATGTTATTAATAGCATCATCACAAATAACATGTCTTGCTTATATATTGAAATATCTTGCCATTTATCAGCTGTTCCAGTCCAAAGTATTATCCAAAGTTGCCAGCCGTGATGTGCTGAAGGAGTTGATCTCCATGATGGTCACTATTCTGCTTGACCGTCGTCTGGAGGACTTCAGCGAGGGGCCACAGCTGATGCGGTCAGTCAATGTGATGGTGGTCAAGATTGTGGAAAAATCCAACAGCACAAATGTCATGAGGTAACAAAATGTTTTCAGTTTTGGATATTATTTATGTATTTTTGAGTTAAGTATGATATAAAATCCAAATATTTTCTCTTGTTTTATTTTAGTTTTATCAATATTTTACATTAATTCCTTTCTCTTTTTAGTGCACTAATAAAACTATTCCATGAATGCATGGCCAGTGAAACGTGTTCTTACAAGTTTATAGAACTTGTCATGAAGGTAAATACTTGTTCTTTCTTTAAGTAGAAATTATAATAAAGTAAAACAAAAAGAAAAAGATATGTTAAGAACAGCAAAGTATGATAAGTAATGGTGATTAAAAAAGACTTGACTTTGTAAACTCACCAGTATCTTCTTGAAAGAATACAGCTTTGCTCTTGGCACTTGAAAATTGTAGCAGTATGTGGTAGCACTTAGGCAATGTCAAGGTTATCATCATTTTTTTCAGTGTTTGTGGAAGATGATGAGGATGCTTCCAGACATTATCAATGATATTGATGTAGAGGTGATTCTCTATGACCTGCATGCCTTCCTCAAACAATTTCCCACATACACATGGAAAGACAGAGCTGAGGGAGACACACCACTGAGGACAGTCAAAACTATTATGCATTCTTTGGCAAAGATGAAAGGAAATAAAGTGAGTTTAGGAGATATATTTTTCAGGTGGAATGAATGTGTTTGTGTGTGCACTAGTATATTTAAATCAAAAGAAATACAAATATCTGTTTGTTAGAGTTAAATGATAACATGTCTTACATTGGGAATTTATGTCTATCCCTCTACTCAGAGTTATAAAGTGTGTTACTTATGAATTACACTATTCATTTACTACCAGATCCTCAGTGATATAGGCAGAATAGAGAACCCAGCAGAGTCTGAGGTGGTCCAGTATTTGAACAAGGTGCTCAAGCATGGAGTGGGTGGGGGCACAGCTGTTGCTGTCTCTAATACCAAGAATGAGCAGAATGGTTCCTCTGAGGATTCTAAAACACCCAGGAGAGAGGTATTTATGGTCATTGATTAATTAAGATAAACATTTAACAAATTAATGCTTGCTCAATACTTAATTTTGAGTTCAGCAAAGTTCTTATTTAGTATATGCATAAAGTCTTGAATTGTTGTTTTTACATGGCTAAATAAGCTTTCTAATTCAGAGATTTTTTTTTCTGGCAAATTCAGTGCATTTGAATCTAATGTCATGGAGATGTTAATCTGTGAAGAAATAATCTAATCTTTAATGACATGAGATTCATATTTTACAGAGCACTGGCAAGTCTTCCAAAAGACTGAGTAAAAGCACACATGACACTCTGGCAGAGATATTCAAGAAGATTGGCTCCAAAGAAAATACAAGAGAGGTGGGAGATAATTATAAATATTGTGATGCCTGATTTTATTTTCAAGATTGAAAGTGTTTTAAGGACATTAGGCCACACTTTTTTTATTTTTATGGATGACATCCTGCGCGCGCACCGATTTTCGTTCGTTCTCCCAAAAAAAAAAAAAAATTTGGTGGACTAAAGGTCGGACAGGCCACCAGATAGTTGGCTGCTACGTGTGAGTCGAAGTAGACAAAATGGCATCGACCGAAATTATCTTTTTTAGATTTGGTAGTAGGAAGCATAGGCCTATCTTTGCTTCATTTTTTAACAATTCTGTGAAGTGTTTAGGCCTACAATGCTTTATTTTCTGAGAGTACAAATAAAGACACGCTGTTTATTTGATATTTGTTTTATTGATTGCTATACCAACAGAATGCATGAAATAACCTTAATTAGATTTGGTAATATGCAGCATATATATTCATGACTTTTTACCTTTCTACGAAGTAGGCCCTATTCACAATGCTTTAATGCCATATTTTGAGAGCATGGATAAAGACATGTTGTTAGTTTGATACATGTTTCTGTGGTAAATTAGTGTTTCCAGCTGTGTACTGAAAACATACCTTTTCTTAAGCAGATTTTTTTTTTTTTTTTCGCCCGCTCGCACCGATTTTGGGGTCCCCAGAGGATGTCATCCATAAAAATAAAAATGTGTGGCCTTATAACAAATGAAAGTTGTATTTGTCTTGCATGGTGGTTTCACATGTGGAACAGTACACAGTTACGGGAAGACCAGATATTTTATTTGACTTCTTGCTTTCAGGGTCTCAATGACCTGTATGACTTCAAGCAAAAGAACCCAGAAGCAGACCTTGAACCATTCCTCCGCAAGTCTTCCCAGTTCTTCCAGAATTACATAGAAAGGGGACTGAAGAACATTGAGCTTGAGAGACAGGCAGGAGAGAAGTTGCCCACTCCATCATTTGGTTGTAAGTCAGCATTCTTTTACATATTAAAGAAATATTAGTTAAAGATTCCTTCATAACTTAACATTGTTTCTGTATCTTTAAATTTAAAGGTCAATGATCATTGAATTACTCTATGCAGTTAACATTTTTATATGACATTTGAGAAGAAAAAGGGTATTCTGTATCCCAAATGAAGTTTGAAATGCAATGTTTAACATAACAGCAAATTGTGTGACTAATGAGTACAAGCTTGATAAGGTATTAAGGATATTTCTTTCAACCTCTACCATGAAAATTTTTTCTCCAGATATTCCCAGATATCTCACAATGTTAATTCTGTACTCATTTCTGCACCCCCCCCCCCAAAAAAAAAAATATATATATATATATATATAATAATCTTATATTAATGTGATCACTTCACATGCCTCTGATGGTGAGCATTCCATGTATATCATCTTCTTCCCAGCCATGTCAAGCCAGCCAGAAGGTGTTCAACTAGGGGCATCCCTGGACACAGCCAAAGGTGATGTGAACCCTGCCATGTACATGGAGAGACTGAAGATCCTGCGGGCCAGGTGTGGCTTAGATAATAACAGTCAGCAGGTGAGTGCATACACAGTTACTGGTTGTTGTTGTAGTTGTGTGTAGATAGGTATTCTATTGGATTGTGGACTGATGATTATGGTAATATCTTGCACTTTGTTGTTATCATTTAAAATTTTGTTAAAATTTATTTCATTATTATTATTATTTATTTATTTATTTATTTATTTATTTTTATTATTATTTTTTTTTTTTGTTGTTGTTGTTGTTAAGTCCTTTTTTGCAATGATTTTCATACCTTAACATTTTGTTGGAGAATATAATAAGGCTATGAATCCAAGAGACCAACAGCTTTTTTTTATCCATAGTGAGTGGGAAAGGGAGTAGTGCTAGATATTACCATTAGCTTACTTCTGTGTGTTGCACTGCAGTATTTCTTTCATAATTTCAATGGTAAAACTTTTTTTCTGTGAATAATATTAATTGTTTTTACGTGTAATACAATGGCCCTCAGTATTCTGTTGCATGCAAGCAATATGTTATTGTATATCTATGTATTGTGTTCAAAATTTTTTCTCTAGTGCTTTTGAGGTAAATTTCAATATCTTCAATATATTGTGTAAAGCTGGTCTTATGTCATTGTTATTGCTTTGGTTGTAGTCTACAGAAACTGTACAGAAACCTGTTAAAAGCAGTAGTGAGGAGACTTTAGCCAGTAATCTTGTGAGTACAATCACAGTGAAACAACCCATTGTATTTGTCCTTTTTCTACATGTCTTTAAAGCTTTTGTGCATGATTGATGTTGTAGCTTAAATAGTACACTTATTGTGTTTTTATAGATTAGACAGATAGATGTGTTGCTGTCCTAGTTTTCTTTCTTATTAGATAATTCATGATGAGTATTGAAAGGTATAATTGACACATGGTAGAATTGAAACAGAACCAAAGATTTGCTGGAAGAATTTTAAGGTATTGACATTGCCTGTATGGGAATCTATATTTCTAATTCCAGCCTGCACTTTCAAGTAGTAGCACCAGTACTGCACAACCACAAGAGAGTGGAGATGATAATAGTGAAAATAAGCCTGCTGCTGCTCAAGTCAATGTGGCAGACTTGAAGAAAAGACTGGACCGAATCAAGAGACAAGCACAGATGGACAGTTAACATAACTTATCTTATGATATAAATGTGAAAGGCACATTTGAATAATGTCTAAAAATGTGTTAAACAAGTTGTTACTGAGGACAATAAGCTACTTTGGGGATTTTTATAAGCCTAGTATGCAGACAACAATAATATCTCTCTTTGAAGAGTACAGTAAAGAAACAAGGAATGCATATATTAAGGCAACCATGTTTGGAAGAGGAAGATTTAGAAAAAAGGTCAGAAAAACTTTGAGTAAAAGTTTTTTCAATCAAAAGATTAATATTAGTCAACCAGACTGCATTATGGAGAAGACATCTTCAGTATTGCCAAAATTTTACAATAAATGCCAACAATGCTTGCATATGATCACAAAAATATTTGAGAATGCTTTGATAATTAATGTAAAGCCATTAGGTTTATGTACACCAGTATCATGTAATCTTTTCATTTAATTTATGGAACTCCTTATACATATCCAGCCGTCAGTAATTGATGTAGTTTGCATACGTATACTTTGTAATTGCCAAAATGCAGGGGTTACTTGCAGAACTGTATTGAAATACAGATGATTTGTATGAGATGTGCACGAGTGAGAGTGAAGACACATTTGTTGCCATTATTATTGTTATTATTATTATTATATGTATTATAATAACAATTTTTTGTTGATAGATGAATAGTGTGTATATGTATATAAACCAATATTTAACAGATCAGAGTAATCATAAGAGCATGTTTTGATTGTATAGCTGCTCTATGCAAGGTACCTGGCACCAAGGTGGATCTGACCAAATTGTAATAAAGTCTCAAAAGAGTAATTTGTAATTTTGGTTTTCTGGTCAACCTTTCACTTAAAGGAACTACACTGCAAATCTTGCAAATATACAGGCTCCAAATGGCAAAAGAACATTGCAAGAATGTTTACAAACAAGGCAGTAAAGCTGATAAATAGATGTGTTAGTATAAATGCCCAAACTGGTGAAAGCAGTGACCATAAAAAATGTAAATCTGAACCCCCCCCCCCCCAAAAAAAAAAGGGATTACAAAATAAAATCCTATGGTGCTGGTTTGACCAGTATTTTAGTCCTTAAATCATTTATACAAGTTTGAGAATAATTTGTAAAACTGCTTTCCTTTTATTGTGTTTGCTAACAAAAACTTGGAAAGGGCATGGAAACAACAGGCAATGTCTGTCCAAAAATGAAATGCATTGTACAATCCTTATACCATTGTTACAGGAAATTTAGATAGGCACCTTCCCCTGAGATCAACTCTATACAAAAACGGCTACATTTTATTTTAGATTTCAGTTTAAGCTGTGTTTCTCTTATGCTGTAACAAGACTGCACTGATGCTACAGTTACAGTCTTCGGGACCATGGAAGTTCAAAGGCACTCAATTCAATAATTTCAAGTAAAACAAAAGTATAGTTTGGCATTTATAGGGACTGCTGTGTGGGACAGTGATTACATGGACAGACACAGTGATCATAATATGTACAGACACATATACTGTCTTGATATAAAAAGCGTAACACACTTAAATTTTCATTAAAATTTCAATGAAAATTTATTCCACAAATTCAAAAATAAAAAGCATCCTCTGACTGAAACCTCTGGTTTATGTTATCTTTTTAAAATATCAAAATAGCTGAATGTTCAATTGATAGTGGAGAATGCATGTCCATGTCAGTAATTTTGAATTTAAAAACAACTGTATCCTTGTCCCAAGTTTCAACCAGGTTCATTGGTTACAGGGGTGACAATTGATATATACATAAAATTTTACAGTATATACAATTAACCATGGGACTATTTATAAAATATTCCGATGCCCTTGCCATAGTCCACAATGGTTTGGTATAAATAGTTCTATACAGTGTAATCTGTTTTCATAAACTGCTGTTAAAAAACTCGTTTCCCAGTGAAAGTTCCCAGCTTACAACCAGCTGAAAATAATCTTGTGTCCTTGGTAAATATTTCACCGTTTTATGATTCGCTGGTTATAGGATGTACAAAGGGTTGCCACTTAAAGCATGCGAGATTCCTGAAGACTAAATCTGTTCAATAATCACTACTCTTCTTAGCAGATTTTAGTGCCTCATGCCTGCATCACTGCTCCGTCAATTTTACCCTTCAGTTTTATTCCTGAACCTGCAAATCCTGTGGCTCCCTAGAATGGGATGTTAACATGAAACATGAATTTCGGACCTAAAAGTTTACTTTTGCCATAAATGGTCTGACAAAATGGTGTTTCATAATCAATATTTTGTCACCAATTAAAATAAACTTTACAAATAAACTTTTATTTAAAAAAAAAACCTAACAGCCCCAATATTTGTCTTATGAAAAAATATTTCATACCAAATATAGTTAATCTTAAAGAACATTAACCCCTATGTCATCTGTGAATTTTGCCACATCCACATTGAACATATTTCACAGTGGTACATGATAAGCCTACCCTTTGGAACTGAATGATGTCCTTTTCTTTGAGAGGTTTTCCATTGGTTGGATCAATCATGTCTTTTTTAATTATCTTCTCCACACACTCCATTGTCACAACATTACCTCTGAAACAGAATATAGACAATAAGAATATGGAACAAAAAATAACTCCAATAAAAACTGACCCAAATAGATGACCTTGATTATTTGTGTGTTGCTATTCAGACATGTGGAAAGAGCAAAACGTCATTATCAACATTTCTGGATGGCTATAATTACACTCAATAACATGGAATTCAAAACAGACAAAATTTTTCTTGGGCTTTTTTTCTCCTGAAATGCACCATTTTCATGTATAAATTCTTCCTTTTATAAATTTGTAAAACTGAACCCAACTCAATATTCAAACATATAAAATAAACTACTTACGAAGTTCTCAGCAAAGCACATGGCACGGAATTCCCCAGTGCATCATTGGTGACAGCACACACATAACGAGCATCTCTCTTTACTATCAGTGATCTCTTGTCATCATCATCTTTCATCAACGTGAACTTGACAGGAATCAAATCTTTGAGTTTGAGAGGCTTGCCACTCATTGGACACCTAACTTTCTCATCCTGAAAATGAATGAAGATAATGGGTAAACGCAATTTTGTTAACTTGGAGTTATGAACTTAAAACCATATAAGTAGTGCTTTACAGTACAGCAATTATATTTCTCAAAATACTTTTTAAACAATTAAATTTATATTATTTTACTACATACATTTAATAATATCATGATTATTTTATTCCCCTTTATCAAGAAAAAGATTATTAAAGGAATTACCGGTTTCTTCAGCTCAGTTTTTGTAGCCTGTGGGGTGAGAGATGGAATCCAAAAACTGGGCAGTTCCTTCCCTTTATCTGCTGTCATGTTAGATACACTACTGGTGCTGGGCTGGGTAGAATCTGCAAAGAAACATATCTACCAGATATGGGTGTTGACAAAAAATTACTTTATTTTAAATTTTGTAAACAAACAAGCTAGTATAAACAAGCTAGAATGAAATATTCTTACTTCAAAACAAGTCCTAATTCTAGAATTATTTAAGGAAACTTGAATGAAAATGCTACAGAATGCATATCACCACATGATTACTATACCACAAATGAACATTCAGTTTGGTTTAAAATGCAAACCTTCTTTCATGCCAGTAGCTCTGGTGCTGTCATCAAACTTTTGGACTTTGTCAGAGTGTTCCTTCAGATTTGTTTCTTTTGCTTCATCCTAAGAAAGCCATGTAACAGTGCTTGTAAACAGGCAAGTTAAACAAACAATGAAAGAATAGATAAATTAAATGTAAAAATTAAACATGCAAAATATTTAAACAGATCATGCTTTTTGTCATATTATTCTTTGACACAATATACTAGTATTATTACCTCCTTTCCTTTCTTCTGTTTTTCAAATTGTTTCAATTTTCTCGCTATTTCTCGTTTTTGATGCAGTATGTATTCTAAAATTGCTTCCTTGTCATAGAGATGGCCATCTGGACTGAGAATGAGAAAGAATATTTTAATTATATAAAATAAGCCAATGTGCCAGTAACAAAATTCTGCTGAAAATATGCTGTGGATGGAAAAATTAGCATCACATTACTTGAAACTCAATATATTTTAAATCTTTTAAAAAATGCCATGACTATAAAATGGTTTCTGCATGGAACCATAGGCTATGTTTAAGAAATCAAAGTAATTAGAACTACACTTGTACAAAATTTCTACAAAACATAGTTATAATATTACACATCATGTATTACTTGGAAAATAAAGTAAAACACTGTTGGAAAAAAGTTTTTGCCAAAGAGTAGTTTAATTGATAGATACCACTGGACTTGACTTACGTGATCACTGGATCTTTACAAGGTTGAAGAGTTAAGCTGCAACAATCAAAGTCCTGAAGGCAAAATAACAAGAAATGCTGACTTTTATTTGATTTCAACTCTTTACAGGGCTTAAAACATATATAATTACTATGATCATATTATAAAATGTTAATTTTAAAATATGTTTAAGGTCAATGATATGCAAAAATAATCTTTCAGAGTAACTGAAAAAATTCTTGAAACTGATTGCTGTAAAATTTGCAATTAAATACAGTATTCTTTTATTGACTTAAACAGACTGTCAGCCTGGATTTAGTCTATGAAACTGATATTCTGTGTTCTTACTTTCAGGGAATCTTTTCCAAATCGAACTTCATTACTTCCATATCCAGAGGCTGCTGTGTCTCTTTTCTTCTCGTGATAAGTATACACAGACCCTGCAGTACAGTTCTTTGAATGGCGAGTCATCTTACAAGCTCTGTAAAACCAAAACATACATAAAGAATAAACAAAAAACATCACTAAACTACATAAAGCTTTTCTCCATTTACTTCATTTTTTGACAGGAACCTTTTGATTGCTGATTACATCATAAAATCTATAGTACAAATTTTTATTTTACATTCCAACGTGCAAAGGAATATTTTACGGGCAGAAATTAACAAACTTATACACAATACTAATGTACATGTATGTTAGTCATTTCGGCGTAATTTTAGCATTTTATAAATACTGTAAACTATTCAAATAATTATTTTTAACAAACACACACTTTTGAAAAGCCTTTTTACAATCTCATGCATTAGCCACCACTCCAGGGATGACTAAATTCAAAATTCAAAAAGGCTAGAAAAATTTTAGACGATTATGAAAAACAATAAAAGGTCTTCCAATAATATCACCTGTACTTTGCTTGCTTTCTTGATTTGGATTCAATAGTAACAACACCGGTTTGACAAGATAATCTCTGTGGTACAATTTTAGTTTAGAAGCATAATTTCAACTACAAACAATTGTAGTAAAGCAAACAATGTATAAAAACGAATTCTGATATGTCAATTTAATAAGTAATCAGTATATATTTGTAATTCGTTTATTGTTGTTTTTAACTTTGGCTTATCTTGACAGAAGGTGCTCGCAGTGCTATGTTATTGCTGCACACCGAATGTTTACGGTAGTCCAGGGGAAATGGCAGCCGAATAAAGTTTCGGCTTAAGTTCAAGGATGTAGCTGTAGGGTAAGCATACAACTTATATTGCTTACTTTTATGAAAAACTATACACAGTGGCGTTTTATTGTGTTGGCAGTGCTCTTTTAAAAATTTTTTAGACTTTTTTCATCGTTCTATCAACTCGTTGTAAATATGAGTTTTCAAAATTATAATGCCAGGGACTTAAAATTTGGACACAGGTAGCCACATATAATATTAATAATAAACTGCGTACATTTTATGTTATCTCATATCCATATTCATATTTTAGTAAAACCATGTTTGCCAATTTTTCAGGAGATCATTTTTCAAATTACTAGTAAAATAAGCAAAAGTTGCCCAATTATACTGGGAGTAGATGTACTAAGTACAGCATGTAATCCATGTGTTAGCACTCCTTTTAACAGTTTTTGTTGTACTAACACAACGTACAATTTAAATTTTGGTTGTAGGATTTTCCAGCAGAGAAATATGTACCAATATGTGAAAGCAGTGTGAAGGATTTTTTGTCACATACGTATGTGCAATATGAGGAAAAAAAACATTTTCATGCAATATCTTTCTTTTAAAGTCATTGTGTATGCTAGTTAAAAGCCTATAAGTCCTTGTTCATATCATCTATTATATACTCTTATATATATATATATATTTTTGTTTATTGCCCTACCACCCTTTCCCAACTTAAAAAGGCATAATAAAGAACCATGTCATTAAAAAAATATTGACATTGACCTAAATCATTTAATGAAAAATTGTGCAAACCATCAAATTCACATGTGGGGCAGGTCAAGCAATGTTTTTTGAGTCAAAGAAAATTGTTTTATTTTCCTCAACAAAAATTGAATTTGGCTAAAAAATCGTGGATAGAATACCCTTAAACATATCTGTCATGGCATGAGTTTTAAATTGATGAAATTAGTTGTCATAAAAAAAATGATAGGGCAAGTAATTTTTGATGAGATCAAGTCAATGCTGCCTTCAAGCAACAAAATTAGTTAGGTTTATGCTGTTTATAGTTTTTGAGTCCGAGAGATGAAAAAATTCATATCATATAACAGTAACATTCAAGTTTTTCTTTCTTATGTATCTATTTAATATTATTTAAGGTGCTGTAGAAGGAAAATATCTGATATACATGCACTGCACTGTATTGTACTCTATGAAGATTTTATTCTTTCCAGTTAATCAGTAAAAAAAACTGTCAAGATGTCTCTGAAGACTCGCATCCATGGGTTCACAGCCTGGGTGAATCTAAGGCTGAAACCATATGATATCCTAATGAACAATGTTATCATGGACTTGCTGACTGGAACAAATCTCAAACTGCTGGTTGAAAGCATGACTGGAAGAGAGATGAAAAATGTCAAAAGTTTTGATGGGTAAGTTAAAGCTACATTTAATTGTACTTTGCAAATGTATTTTCTCTCTCTCTTTACTAAGTGCTATAAGTAATATACAGTAGATGATATTGATAAACAATTCTCTTTTTTCAGGTTGACTCAGCAACAGAAAATAACACGAGCTGAATGGGTTGTCAAGGAATTAAAAGCATGGTAAGTTAAACTTGATCAATATATTAGTAAAGAGTATTGTTATCTTAGTAATCAAAAGCAGTTTTATCCATTTTGACATCTGTTTTGTTATTATAATATTGAGCAGTACGGGATTATATGCAGAATATGAACATGGACAACAAGAACCTCCAGACTGGAGGCAGTTAAAGACTTGCATCTTTCTTGTAACAATAGATAGATGAATTTTAAAGCAAAATACACTTTGCATCCATTTAAAGTTTGTTCTGTTATTACAGTAAACTAGTTCCTGAAGATGTCTATGTAGATGCCAGACTTTTTGCCATGAGAGGTGCTGATCAGGTGAGGGGATAATGGCAACATTAAATGTGTTTGATGAACAAAAAGCTTTTTTTACTACTCTAGACCATGTTATACACTCTATGCACAAGTTTTGTCTAAGCAAGTGGTTTTAAACTTTGGTAAACTTTGTGGAAGTTTCATATGTGTGACATATGTTTTTACTGTTAAATTTCTCTGAAATGTTAATTTAAGGACCAAAAAATTAATTTTTTTATCTTCAGAGATATTTTAAAAGGAGTATTACTATGTAACATTGTATTCTAGGTTTTTGACTTACTCTGGCGCTTGGTCAGTCATGACATTTGGTTTGTTTGGGAGAGAGCAGAGTACCTGCAGCATGCAGAGGACCAGGTGTTAGTAGCTGTCCCTTTTAAGGTAAAAATGGATTTGCTGTCAAAATTTTGTCATTTAACATTTACTTATAGCCTCTTTATTACTCAACTGATGTGAAGTAACAAGCACCATATGTGATTCAAGTGCAAGGCATACATGCAAGTATACATGATTAGTTGTTGCTGTAAACAGTCAACTGATGAAAATCGATTGACAAGTAAAATATGATGCTTAATTTTATTTGCAGTGGACACCTGAGCCTCCTCCTAAGAAAAGGAAGAAGACCAAAGTAAAGCAGTCATTATTGTCAGGATTTGGTGCAGCATCCTTGGTTCAGGAAGACCTCAATGATGATGTAAGAGATTTTTTTAAAGAAAGAAGTAGATGCAGTTCTAGAGTTACTGAATAATGCTTCTTATTTACAAAATTAAGTCAAATTTCAATTTGTTCAAGATAATGGTTGTAATTTTCTACAAAAAGTAATTCAGTAAAAAAGACCTTGTTTTGCCAAGAATATTCATAATCTATTGTATCTAGGTGCAACAAAGAAAGCCATTAAGTGATTATTTCCAGTAATGTTATTCTGATAGATGAAAAGGTCCCAATAATAATAATATTGATATTTATTTTTTATACAGGCTCCTGATCCAAATGAATACTATGACCCCTTTCCTGGCTCAGACATCATGAAACAACTAAAACCTAAGAAGATTGATCCCAAGAACTACCCAGCACCTGATGACTGCATACTTGAAATGGTCAATGCACATCTCAATGTAAGTGTCAAGCTTTTGATTCAAATTGCTCCCAGAAAATTATTATTTTTGATGCATTGTTCCAGCCTCGATGGTTTTTCAGTTTAAAACTTTTTTAAGATAGTAACCTATTCAGAATTGATACAAGTTGCAGTCTATATATTAAACAGCTTTTGCTGGCTTGATAATTTAGCATTAAAATCGTATGTGTTTTGATCTTTTCCAGATGAGTAAGGATGGGAAGAAACTGAAGTGCATAGTGAGTTGATAAATTATATTTGAATAGATGATGTCTCTGATAGTAATAGTATTGACAAAAATGGCAATCTGTCTTCATTTTAACTTTATGACAACTGTTTCTCAGTAATACCACAGGTAATCAGAACTTTTTGCAGCTCCACAGAATTTGCTTATGAACCATTGACTATCAAAAACTTTGGTCACACTCTAGTATTCTTATCAGTTATTTTGATAATCATTTAGAATACAAGGTAAGTCAGTTAAAATAAAATTACAAAGTCTCATTTCAAAATTAAAGGGATCTTTGGCCAAATATCAACCAACCTACATTTTAAGTTTTTCATTGATCTTGTACAGACCGTCATACGTGTACTGCATGGGATGAAAGATATAAAAAATACAAAAGTACAGATATTTCTGGGCTGACATTTAAGTAGGTATTTCAATAATGAATAAAAGCACTTACACATGTCTTCATCTAATGTAAACTCCCCTTTTCATTCATTCACTCTCTTTATGTAATTATAACTAAAAGCTATATGATGTATATCTTCAGAGTGTGGATGACCTCATGGACAGTCGTGTTCTTTGTGCACTGGTCAACTCTTTTGTACAGGATACGTTTACACCAGAAGTTTTGCTCAATGACAGGTAAATAAATGGTATTAAATGTCCACTTGGTAATTTGTATGCAATCTTAATAAATATTTTCACATTACAACAGAATTGCAGCTATAATTCTCTTGCATTCATTAACTTAATATTGGTTTATTTCATTTACTTGTTCCATCATTTCATATATCATATATGTATATTTCATTTGTAAAGGTGGACTATGAACTTGTGCTTACGGACAGCAGAGAAGATGTTTTATACTGAAACTCCCTTTGATTCTGAAGACTTGGCTGAGGTGGGTATTTTGTAACAAAATTTCACTATTATATTTTTTACTGAAATGATAATAGGTTAAAATGAAGCAGTAGATGCACATAAAATCTTTGTACATGACAAGAAACTTAAAATGATTTTAGAAAGTAGTTTAATGGGTTTACACCATTCCACTAACAGTTTTCATGTTTTTTAGGGAGATCCTATGGCTGTGTGTGCCTATTTTGCATTTTTCTTCATGGTTGGCTACAAATTCAGGCAGGCCAAGGCAGTTGTCAACAGAATAGTAAGGACATTTCTTTCTTTCTGTTATAACACTGCTATACAATTTATGTACACTTATATTTAGTCATTTAATTCAGTTGCTTAAGAGTATTTATACATGTAAAAATGTTTTATGTAAAAACTCTATCATATTTAGATTTTATATAGATTAAATCAAAGTTTAAGATGCTCTGAAAAATCCATATTCAGTGTCCCATTTGTTAGAAAATCACTTTTCTCATTTTTAGAGTTTACAAATGGTCTTTTCAGAGTTTTTTTTTTTGTTTGTTTGT